TAATCTCGCAGTCATTCCTACGAAAAAACCCTTTACACCTTCAGTCTTTAAAATACTTGTGGCAACATTTAACCATCTTAATTCGCCTCGACGAGATTCACGTGCAATTTGAATTTTTGTTTTTACTACATCGAAAGGAGCAGAAGTAAAAGTTGCAGTAGTTCCGGCCACAACACCTGATGTCACAGAAAATAAAAAGTAAGAAGAAGGTAAAAATGTAAGATGATGTTTATTTCGTTGTAAATATTCCAATGTATAGGTATAAGTGAAAAAATATGCTGGAAAGAATGATAATGTATTAAGGAGTCCTGCGGTCCAGCCGCGATAAAGAAATTTATATAAGGATACATCTTTTGGTTTAAGACGAGTTATAAAATTTGTTAAGGTAGATGACTTATTAATATCTGAAGGAACCTTTTGAACATCGTGTCGAGTGGTAACAACAAAAATAGGTCGTTTTGTTATTGTTGATGTAGAAATTTGCCTTTTGCTTTTGGATAGAGCTGGAACATTATTATTCGTATTGGTACCTTTTGAGGTTGACGAAGGTAATTTTGAAACTTGAAGTTGTTGCGATATAACATCAAAAGGTACAATAAAGCTAGAAGTTGTTATGGCGCTTAAAGTTCCTAAAAATGCATTTGTTGTAGTTTGACTACAACCTTCTAACCAAGCAAGTCCAATCCCTTTTCCCCGTCCTCTATAAACCCTATCTCTTAATGCATCATAAGTAGAAAAATGAACTAAACGTCCACCAATACTGCCTAATGCGTGAACTCCAACACCTTTATATAAACCACGAGCTCCTTCTGTTTTCAATCTTTCAGAAACAACTTTAAAAAATAAAGTTGAGGAACTTGTACCAATATTCGATTGTTGGATGGTTTTAACAGTTCGTATAGGATAAAAGATATAGATTGGTAATAGATTTATAAGGAACCCATAGAAATAATAACTTTTGAAATTTATGTTTTGATCGAGATTCAGTGGTCGGTTATTCATCTCGTCAAAAAGGTTGAAGTTGCACCGAAAGGCCTTTTATTCGTTACTTTTAACCAATTTTTAGCCGCGGAGAGAACAAACCTCTCCCGGAGGAATTCTGTAAGATGCTTATTTATTGGGGGTTTTTTTTTCATATGAATTTGTGTAGATTAT